CTGTGTCCGCTACGTGTTGAGCTTTGGGAGCTGTGCCTCACGCCCCCTACTTCCCTGAATAAGGCCTGGCCGCGATTTTCTCATCGTGTGTGATCAGGGTTCAAGGTTTTTGGGTTGCGGGTTGTCAGCTATCGATGAGGAGAAGAGGCCTTTTCTTTTTGTTGGTAACCGAAGGAAAACAGCAGGCCGGATCTAATCTTAACAGTGGTCGTTAAAGTCCTAGAGCAGAGCAAACAGGGCGTGCCTGCATGACACCCCCTGGCTTTTAGATTGAGGGGTGTGGGAAAGTCTTTTCATCCTTATTGCAATGCTGGCTACATGGGTCATGCGGGATTTTTACCATCCACCGTCTCGTTGATGATGGGTCGTTCAGCATGTGTGTGATTGCATAGCGGATTGAGCGGGTAGTGCTGTAGAGCAGGCGTCTCATGCTTGCGTGTGGCTTTGTTGTCGCGTAGACTGGAGAGGATGGTGCAGCCATTTGTGAGGTTGGGAGCATTGAAGCCCGCGTTGCAGGTGTGACTCAATAAGTGCAGTTGATTAGATGCCGTGTGGGTCGTCCTTGGCGAGGTTGCGCGTGGCATGTGTGGTCCACGCGTATGGAGCGGCCGGGTGTGTCCGGGGCCGCGCCAAGAAGCGGCCGGCTCGGCTCTATACTTGCGGCTCGTGGTTTGCAACGTGTCTGGTGGGTCGTTGCATCTGCTGTGTGGATAGCTGCTGGCCGACACGGGCCTATCACACAATTGGCAGCTGCATGTTTGTAGAAGTATGTAGAAGTAGTTTTCACAAAGCCATCCAAGCTATGCCGGGTGCGGGATGGCAAGATAAGATGGCGCGCTGGTGGTACTCAAAACGGAAATTAGGGTGAACTTGCGGGCCTTTGGGATGTTAGTGTCGGGGTAGGTTTGGCCTATGGCCTATGCACGCAACAAACCCTGTAACCCGTGGATAGCCATGCAGTCATGTTGTGCTATGGTTTGACTTCCCGAACCTTTTCTTTCCTCAGGTGTCGTACAATCTTTGGACCGTGACGCTTCCACCTTGACCTGGCTGCTGTGCAAACGACAGCCAAACAAAAACAAGGGCGACCTTGCACTTTGAGCGAGACCAGGGTGGATTACTTAGATCGCAAGCTGGACGTACAGGCAGACAGTAATTAGTCACGCTGCGTGCGTTGAAGAAGGCCGGCAGCAATAACAAGTGCCCGTCCAAACAGTTTCCGCAGCCTTGCGCAAGCGGAACTGCGGGCCCGGCAAAACAGTGAACGTTCCCTTCATGGCAGGCGCGGGCACGCGTATACTTCTGGATCCGGTGGTCAATGTCTTCGGTTTTCAGGCCATGGCCATTGCCCTGCGCAAGGCGCCACCATGGCTTTTGAGTTCTTGTGCGACAAATCGGCAGTTGCGGTTCATTTATTGGTGCGACTTCTCCCGCACAGATTTTGCGTCCCGCCAGTTAGAGTATTAGCTGCGACATCAAGAAGCTTGCTGCCGGTCGGTATTTCCGCGTCCAGGTCTCGTAGTCCCACCGCAATAGCAGCCCGGACTTCCACGGGACGCACGAAGCTAGCAAAGCAGCACTTCTGCAGGGGCTCTCCAGTTTGAGGCCCACACGCCCATTGAAAGTTTCTTGCAGCCCATGCCGCACTGCATGGAAACATGGTGCGGCTGCCGATGTAGCGCTGCGACCGCCGCATTTGCCCAGTAGACGAGGACGACTAATTAATCGACATACGTAGGCATCGTAAGCGGCGTGACACATGTCTTCCTACATTGAAGTTAGTCGCCAGTGCAAGCAAGAGCAGGTGGCAGACTGTCGCGACCCAAAATCCAGCACCAAATTCGCAGACAGGTCCCGGTAGCCCTCTCAGTTGTCAAAGCAAGATGGCGTACTGTAGATGTTAAGAATCTTACGTCGATCTTTACAGACAGGCCGGCTCCCCTCACAACCCCCGAATCGTAACATTACTCCCCTGAGCAGAGCAAGCAGGGCGTGCTCGAATGATAGAAATCCTCCATGACCCCTTCCCCTAGCCAGGATAGAGATTGAGGGCATGGTGAAGTTTTTTCATCCTTACCGGTTAGCTGGCTGCCTGTGAGAGCAGTGTGTGGATTTCGGAAGAATGAAAAGCTTGAGAAGTTTCCATTAGTTTCCAAGCCCGAATTAGTGGCTCAGATTGTCCCCAAATTAGTACTCCATTGGAGCAACCCAAGCTACTTGGCAAGGTCGACGCGGCCATTAACCCCGGCAACTCTGGAGGCTCTGAAGCTTGAGGTCTAAGACTTCGAATCTTTTGAAGACTTACAGCTGTTACGCCTTGGGAGATTGATTGACAGCTAGAATCTATCGAAGCAAATGGGAAACCTTACGTAAAATGAAATGAAAAATTCTGGTCTCGTGGAGATGTGTAGGTTGAAGTTTGTGTTGCAGGGTTTAGGGCTCCAATTTCTGGGGTTGAGGTTAGGCTTTTGAGGTTCGCCTAATGGTTTTGCTTCAAGGTCTACGTTTGGGGGTTACTGTAGGCTCCGGATTTGGGCTTCAGGGTTTCAGTCTTAGGTTCCAGACATCAAGGTGCTAAGCTTAGCATTCAGGCCTTGGAGATTGGGATTGAATGTCATCAAATCGTTGAAGCCTGTGGCTCGAGAGCTCGCAGGGTTCGGGCGTCGGGGGTTTCAGGGTCTCACGGAAGTTTGCGATTGCGGGAGGGTACAGGGTCATGGGGGGTGTTTTTTTTTGGAGTTGAAAAACCATGTTCCTTTCAAATAACTATTGCTTATAACACAGATGTGCTTCCCCTGAATACAGGCCGATTCAGAACAGAAAGGAGGGCCAGGCCGACAAAAGAACTGTTTTGGGTGATTTAGTGCCATTTTGGGTAATTTATCGCCTCGAAAGCACAGGCTGCAGGAGGATCCTGCAAAGAGACACAAGAAATTAGGCTCACGTGCTGAGGTCCAGACATGCCGTAACCGAAGCTCTGGGTCTTGGACTCTGCTGCACTGAGCCCACAAGACAAATCGGAGTGTTGTGGAGCTTTCGCACGACGTGTTGCGCAAGCTACTCGCAACATGTTTTGTGAGTGACCCCGCACGATGTCAGCTAGTTTGAGCTTGTACATGTCCAGCAGTTTAGTTTAACCTAGATTCAACGTTGCAAGGTTTCTTTAGCCACCTTTCCATCTCCAAGTACAAGGGATGTACCGATCACGGCCACTCCCAAAATCCTCATTTTTCTCGAAGCCTGATCGCATGAGCTCCTGGGTACGTTCTCATAGGATCAGGTTGGTTGAGTAGTGTTTGGCTCTGATGATGAGCCCTAACTCAAGAGCAGCAGCTCGTATCCGCATCGACATGTCCTGTATTCTGTAGGTCCCGTGCTCGATGTGCAGGGCCGTGCAGTGGCTGGCCGCAAGATAGTTGTGTTAGAGTTCTGCACGCATGCTTTGTAACTGTTTCATTTGCAGGTGGTTTGCAGGTCTTTTCTGGGTTCACAGGTCCGAGGGGCATCATCCCTACCAGGCCCTACCATTTGACATCGGGCCTTAACGAACTCCCTCCCAACATCGCGCATATTTCGAGCTCTTAGTATCCGTGGCATGGGAGGGAAAGAGGCAGGTTTTCGGAGGTTCTGGCGTTTCGTAGTCGTGGGATGGCCGCGGATGTAAGATGGGAGTTTTTCGACTTGATTGTAGGGGGGCTCTGGGAGATTACATGAGACTTTAACGGGACGATAGGAGCGCGCTTGAGGATTATGCGTGGTTGTTTTGGGAAGCTCCCGGATTTTGGCCGCTTGAATCAGGTTAGGGGCATTTTGCAGGCTGTGTCTCAAATTAGAGTGTAGCCTCCTAAAGGCAAGGGTTTTGGGGGTTAAAGCGGTCATGCTGTTTTTGCCAGCTTTTGCTGCTCCATTCTGGAGCAGCAGACCCCTTCGCAAAACACGCAGAACCCCAAACCCGTAGCCGCTCTAAACCACACATCCCTGGATGGCACAAGGTTGGGGTTGCATTTGCCGGTCTCCGAGCGAGCGCAAACATTGGCAACTCAGTGCAACACTGCCTGGTACCGTTCTTCCTGTAAAATTGTGGCTTTATTGTCAGGCCGCCTTAATTGTTCGGATTGCCGGTAGATTCTGCGAGTTTGTGCACAGTAGCAGCACCGGTCCGTGGTACTCGACTGGGAATCTTGTTGTCTTGTCAGCATATCCACACATGCCGTTACATGACAGCGTGCCACTTATGGTATAGGGTTGAGGGGTTCAGTCTTAGAGGCTTGGGGAGTTGCAAGGTTTTGTTGGCCATGAGTCAGTACGTAAGCTTGGCTCTTGGGAACAGGCGTTGAGATTTCGAGTCCGTTGGCTGCAGTGTCAGATATGCGGGCAAGGGGAGCTGTTCGGCATGTTTGTGCGACCTTTGCAAAATGAAGCCACAATACAGCTTGGGTATGTGCAAGCTATGTTCGCAATACCTGAACACGGGAAAGCTTTGTTTGGGCACCGCGAAAGCCCACTTCCAAACACCGCACACCCTAAAGCCCATCGTCCTGCAAAATGACTTTGGGATCCTAAGCTAAGCCCCCCAAGTCCCAACCCAGAGGGCAGCTACAGGAAGGGAGTTGACATAGTCCTTGACATAGTCCCCATTGGAAACTCTTGTATTTGGCTCTAGCTATGCCCAGGTTATGTGATTCCCGGCGCAGTGGTTCACTTCTTCCTGCGCAGCCTCCGTGGCGCGGCCGTGGGCGAAGCCAAGGTTGCGCCGTCACCTTGGAGCGGGAACGGGTTCTCAAAATGCTAAAGATGCTAAGGACAGTAGGGATATGTTGGGATGATGGGCATAGGGGCAAGTTCACGACACGAGCTCTGACTTGATGCATGTGGCCCGAGCCCTCGCTCCCTCAAATTCTGCCTCGACCACCTGAGTCGTAGCTCTCGAACATTCCTTCAACATGGCAATCCGCACGCTCGCCGTTCTGTTCAGTCTCGGACAGCTGGTGCAGGGTGACATGTACCTCAACAGCCCGCGCGGATCCAACAACAAGCTGCGTGAGCAGAGCAACAACGTTCAGAATGCCAACCGCCTGTTCGACTCGCAGAACAATGCCGCTTCTGGGTACCAGATTGGCGACGATTGCAAGCCAGCATGCAAGGACGAGAACAACAACTACGACGTAACCAAGGAGGGAGCTACCAAAGGGACGATGAAATTCTACCAAGGTTCAGAACTCTACATCGATTGGTTCGTGCAACATGGTTGCGGTGTGGGTCAGCCCAACCTGCGCTGCCAGATCACCTTGCAGTACATGACCGATGTGGACAACCCGAATCTCCGGGATGGGACTGACCAGGATTCTGCCGGTGGTGACGATGAGGATCCCACTGAGGAGGAGACGGCTGAAGTCGCCAGGGGCTACCATGAGCCTTTGGAGTATTACCAGGCCTGCTACGAGCGGGAGCGCAACAAGGGCCTCTTCACTTCTGACCAGCAGATTGAGGAGAATGGCGGCGCCACATCCACCCGGCAGAACCCCAATGGCAACGGCCGTCGACGTGGCAACCAGCGCCATGGCTTGGAATGCCCGGAGGACGGATTTGAATTTGTTTCGGAAGTCAGTGTTTGATAGTGTTTGTGTGTGTGTATGTATACGTGTACGTTCGGACGTCTTGCAGATGTGAGGTTAGAGCCTAAAAAGCACACTATGAGACCAGTGCAGGAGAGGGACTACTACCCCTACTGGCACCCGACGCCGTGGCACGACATTGCCATCTTCACTGATGAGCCACAGGAGCGCTGCGAGTACCTCAGGGCAGAGTCGCAGAATGTCAAGGAGAAGGGCAGGTGCTCCATCAACCAGTACAACAACCCTGATGCTTGCACCGGCAATGGGGGGGAGCCCTGGCCCCAGAGGACCAGGAAAGGGAACAGTGAAGAAATTCGGCAATGCTGTGACATGTCTAGCAGAATGCAAAAGAAAGCTACCCCACAAGTTACCTAGGTGGATCGTGGAGCCTGCCTTCAACGAGCCCCCTCCTGAGTGTTGGGGCGGTATCTCCAGCCGCGACAACCACAACGGCAATGTCAGGAACGGCCACCCTGACTACTACTTGTGGAAGATTCCGGAGCACATCAAGGGCCGGGTTGTGCTTCGAATTCGCTACAACATCAGCACGGGCGACTTCACATTGGGCTCCCTGGCAAACCCCACAGAGGAGGGCACGTCGCTCTCCGGGATCAAGGCAGACCCCTTCTTCATCGACCGCAGCTTCAACGACCCCAATCCAAACGATCGCAGGCGTGACATTGCAAACTCTTGTTGGGACTTGAGTTGCGGAATCCATCTACCGTGAAGGGACTTATGTATCAGGCTCTCAAATTGTTAGCTCGCGGATGCCATCTGCATGTGGTGTGATGCCCACATCGAAGCCCCGAAGCCTTGAAGCCCTCAAGAGGGGCGCTAAACCCGACGCCTGTCAAGGAGGCGGACCTTCGTCGGCCGCCCGGCAGTCCCTGTGCCCCTGGCTCAGGAACTCCGCGTAAAGCGTAAACATGTCGGTTTTTCGGGGTGATATTTGGAATTGCGTTGGTTTCGCGTTCAGGGTTTCATAATTTCGGTTCCAAATATTCGGGAATGATTCATGTGAGCTTTATGCAAGGATTTGTCGTATGTACGCACGTGTTCCAGGGGCGTGTAGCGGATTTTTCGAAAGTATGGGGCCTTTTCTGCGGGTTGGTAACTATGGGGGGCGCTCTACTGTTGACAGCTGCCATGCCAATGTGAGCAAGATTTTTGCTTTTGTATGGTCTACAGGAACACTGATTCGGTCGATGTAGTGGGCTGCCTTAGGACCCTAGAAATGTGTAGAGATGGACGCGATGTAGCACAGTTTCTTTGAGGCATTTCTATTCTCGGTAGCAAGGATAAAAGTACTTAATAATATTGCGCATGACTGTGGTGAGTAGGTCTCGTAAAAAGAGAAATGCCGTCCTGAGCTTATTAGTGCTTACAGTTACAGGGAAGTGGCGTGTTGAGGGGATGAAATTGAAGGACAATGGAAAGTGAACTGGGGACTGGGACTATATAGGTGTGTATAGTGGTTACTGGTGCTTGAGGCAGATTCGTTGGAGGATTTGCTTCCCCATTCCCCCTTCAGGAGCTAGTAAGCAAGCACTCAGCATTCCCTTTGCCTTGGAGGATCCCGTGGCTGATTGGATCGGCTTGGGCGACGGCTCCACGGACACCAGTCGCCTCCTTCAACTGCAGGTGAACACGAACCAGCACCCTGTGTTGTTGTTGAATCACGCGTTGCATTTTTTGCGTGGTACCTGAATCCAGCGTAGATTATGGTTTTTCTTACTAGCTCATCAACATTTAAGCAGCCCTGTTGTCATTAGAGAGGGGTCCCAAGAACTGTGGGTTGTTCTCGGATTTGTGTTTTGATGGGACTTGGCAGGAGGAAGTGTAGCCTTCTTAAACTTTGCTTTGCACATGTCCCGACGCTAGGCGCATGGACGCAGCACTCAGACGTTGTGGAAGGTTGTAAATTGTAATTTCATGGCTTCACAACCTCAGAAATGTATGCATCTCATTCTGGCTTGCGTGTCCGTATACTGGGTCCCCCAAAGCTTGGGTAAGTCTGTAGAAGCAGTGCCAATCTGGTCCGAACAGACTCAGAGACTTCACCTTGGATTCTTGATCGCCATTTTTGTCGAACAGCCGTTCATGAGACAAGGTATGGGCGTACGTTTGAGGATCGCACCCACACGTTCATAGCACCCTGGCTCTCATGATACGGGCGTCTGGTTTAGAGGTGGAGGGCAATTTAAGGTTTGGGGTGTCGGGTGTGTCCACTCATCTGCTTGAATCTAGTTTTGGGTGCCCTGCCAATCTACTGAACATTCAAAGGTCCTGGAGCGGCCTGCGGACGTACCAGCTGACAGACGGATCGTGAACTACAATGTGCGCGGCCGTCGCGGCAACATCGTGCAGGTGTACCCCTCCGTGGAGTACGACTTTGTGCCCCAGGATCTGTCTCCGCATCCCCTCCATCACCAGTATTGAAGACTTCCTATTTGGCCCCATCTGGTACCGCGGTATCATGATGGAAGCCATGCTTCATTGGCGGAGAAGTGCTTAATATGGGGGGAGGGATGCACACATGCAAACACCAATAGATATATGCACAAAAACGCATGCGCCCATGCACGGACACACGCACACACCTACACGCATACATATGTACAGGTGTGTGTATGCAGGTACGTATGTACGTATGTGTGTATGTTGTACGTAGGTACGTACGTACGTACGTACGTATGTACGTATGTATGTATGTATGTATGTCTGTCCTTGTGTCTGTCTGTCTGTCTGTCTGTCTGTCTGTCTTCTGCAGGACCTGGTGGTGGAGCAGGGCACTCTGCTGCACTTTCAGTGGACCGGTTCAGATGCCAACAACAACGGCCACTTTGCCTGATTTGAGCGGGGATTTGGGTTGGGATGCTTTAGGGTTTAGGGCTGCCAGGTTGTTCACGGGTAAGTGCGACCCTTTAAGAGGGATCTTGGTAGTAAGGATCCTAGTGCTGCGGGGTATCTTCACATCTATCTACAAGTAGGGTGTAGATTGTTTAGCGGGAAGCGGCTCCACGTCAGGATTTTGCTTGACTGCACTGCCATGGTCGTACCGCAGCATCAATGCCTCAAGGGATAACGGTGCCAGTCAGGCTTGGAGAGCCAAACCATAGCATCTCCTCATTTCTGGTTCGCTTGGACGAGGGCCTTCTTTGTGTCCTTGTGCCTGGTTTCTCTCAGTGGCGGTGGTGTTGGTCTGTTGGTCGTCAACCAGGCATGAGCACGTGCCAGTAGCAGTCATAGACTGTAATACACCGTGTCATGGGGCCGAAGCTGATGGTGTGCAGGTGTAGGATCATTGCTTTGCCGGGGATGTCCTGCGATGCTGACGGGGGAAGAGCAAACCCTCAGTTCCCAAGCTCAACCCAGGCAATGCTGGCAATGGTCGGGCGGGCACGGACCGCTCCAACCTGGTCCAGGCCAATTCTGCGAACAGATCATGTGGGAATTGCCCAAGATAGGCGTCCTTAGGTCCCTTCAAAGGGGTATGGGGACATGTAGGGTTTAGGGGTTAGAGTTGAGTCATCCGGATTTCGAGAAACGGATGCCGACGCGAACTGCAATGTCAAGCCTGGTGATGGTGGTTCTTGTTCATGGTAAGTACAGGTACTGTTGGCGCAGCTCTTTATTAATCCGGCGTGCCCAGTTGCACGTGTTGTTCAGGTGCAGTCCAGGTCGGAAACAGTTCCGCTGCCCATCGAGAAGCACACGCTTCTGCGCCTGGCCTGTGCTTAGAGGTTTGTTGATGTGGTAGGTCTCCACTAAGTACGATAGGAACATCGGTAGGAACATCGGTTTCAGAAGAGTCGGTTTGAGAAACCAATGTTGGAGTCTCTCAGAACTAATTGTATTCAATATTAGACCGGTTAAAGTTTATAATTAGGCGTGCAACCCCGTAGTTGTCCTTGCAGTCTGTAAGGTTCCCTTGCTTGGAGGCGCCCCTGACCCCCACCCTCACCAAATCAGAGGGATTTGCAATAGAATTGCCGGCCTAGCTTAGACATGCCTGGACAACGACCAAGCGAAAAGGATTACATTAGAACAGCCCACAGCGTTGTGTGTTCGAAAAGGGGCCTAGAATCATTGCACGTCTCCTGAATGATCCGCAGGTTCGATGCCAGCACCAACCCCAACGACCCTGAGGGGCGCAAGCTGGTAGACAAGTTTGCTTTCCTGGACCAGGACAAGTTGCCCCGCCATGGAATTCTGATGTCTTGCTACTTCTGGAGACTCGCCTTGTTCGTTGCTAGACGGAAATGCGACTTGTCTCTATCGTGATGACTTATTGAAAGTAGCCCGTGGGCAGCCAGTCAATGCAGTCCGATTTCTGCTGTCTGTAGAGAAAGACCAGTGTTTCAATTGGAGATTCTGTAGTCGAACAGTCTCACTACATCAGGAAGGACACCATATCCGTTCTGTGCCCAAGCAAAGCAGTTGACAGGACTCCATCGTGACGTGCGACCCCGAGACGAACGACCAAAATTCCGAAACAAACTGCAAGCAGCTCAACGGTGCCTCTGCCTACTTCGACGGAGGGCTGGTAGAGATGAAGCATGTTGGCGAACACCATATTGCAAGCACCAGGAACAATGACTTCACCAACAGGTCCCACAAGGCATCTATCAAAGTCACAGGCCTCCAGCTGGAGCTCTATGAGAACATCGCCCTGGGTGTGGGCGCCTTTTGTGGTTTGATCCTGGTAATCTATGTGATAGCAGCCATGTATGCTTGCAGGCGTCCGGGGAGCTGGTTGTTCTCCCGCAGGTATCGCCCGCGGCTTCTCAACCTTTTCCTGTCGAAGCGTGCAATGGACAGCCTGGTCGAAGAGCGGCGCCAGATCGTCGCGCAGCAGCGTCGTGAGTGGGCGAAGAAAGCCAATGCCCATGCAGTGGACGAGGAGGGTGCAGTTGACTCGGCTGAGGTGGCCTTGCCTGAGGAGACGCTCACCTGGTTCCAAGCCATCAACCGCTGCTTCCGCCGCTGCGGCGTGGGCGAGCAGCGGCTTACCACGCTCATGTATGCGGTGCTGAACATCTTGGTCTTCGTGATCGGTTTCCTCTCCAACTTGCACGGAGGCTTCCACGAGTCCTGGGCCTATCCCATTGCCAAGGGCGGCGGCTTCACCATGAACTTGAACTTCGCCATGCTCATCTTGCCGACGCTCAAGAGCTTGCAGACCACCATGCGCCGTGTGAGCTCTTCTCGTGAGTGGATTCCAATTGATGACCCCATTGCCTTCCACATCGTGATTGCCAGCTACACCATGCTCGCGGCGGCCATCCACATTGCTGGCCATTGTGTGCACATCTACTTGATCAAGTCGGCACCCACGATCCAGCTTGACCCGCTGGAGTTGTGGAAGCTGAGTGCCGAGGAGAAGGCAAGTGGCATGACGTTGCTGCAGCAGCTCCTCAACTTCCAGAACCGATGCGCGGCCTTGACGGGCATCATCCTGACCTTCCTCATGTTGGCCATACTGTTGACAGCCATGCCCTGTGCCCGACGTGGAACCAACTGCGTCACTCGCCGGCTGGGCGGTTTCAACTTGTTCTGGCGAGTGCACATGACCTGGAAGTTCATTTATGTGCTCCTCCTCCTCCATGCCCCTCAGCGACTTTGGATTTGGCTTTTCTTCCCAGCCATCTTTGTGATCGTGGACCGGCTGTTGCTCTCAAACCACCAGGCGCTCTACCTGGCACTGAAGAGTGTCAAGTTGCTTCCACGTGATGTGATTGGCCTCACGTTTGAGGTTCCTCAGGGCTTCGCGTACCAGGCTGGCCAGTACATTCTCTTGGGCTGGAAGGGCGAGTGGCATCCATTCACATTGACATCAGCCCCCGAGGAGAATTGCATTTCGGTGCACATCCGCTCTCCAAACAACCTAGACTGGTGCTCCGCCCTTCGCAGGCGCCTCACCGAGGAGGCCCCAGCCCAGGCAGTGGGTGGTGAGCCCACCCGACCCAAAGCTCCCATGTTGCTGGAGTACAGCAAGCACGTGCTTCCCAACAGCCAGGTGGTCTACAACATGCCTAAGGTTTGCAGCCCCAATGGTGCTAAGGAGGTTGAAGGTAATGAGTCCAAGGCCAAGCTCGAGGGTCCACGCCTCTTAGGCCGTAGCCCCTCTGGAAAGGTTGTGCAGCCACCGGCTCGCTCTGGAGAAACGCTGATCAGCAATGCCGCTCCAGGGATGCTCCCGGATGAGGCAGTAGTGTTGCAGGTCACTGGACCCTTTGGTGCCCCTGCGCAGAAGGTTTGGGGCTTCGACGTGCTAATGGTGGTGGGAGCCGGCATTGGAGTCACACCCTTCGCTTCCATCCTGCGTTCCGTGCAGCTGCGGGCCAAGCAGCGCGAGACCATCATGAACGCTGCCACAAAGCCTTCTGCTTGGCGCTCGGTGATGGCCAACAGCCCCGGAACTGCGCCTGTAGAGGACACAAGGGCAGGGTTGGAGAAACTGGTGGACGACCTGGTCGTGGTGCCCAAGAAGATCTATTTTTATTGGATCTGCCGTGGACAGGAGGAGTTCGACTGGTTCTGCGACCTTTTGGCAGCAGCAGCAGAGGGCCCGGCCATGGGCATCGTGGAGATCACACTCTTCCTCACTGGGGAGATCGAGCTGTCCCAGGTCAAGAAGCTGCCCTGCGCTGCAGGGCAGTTCTTTGGCCGCCCCAACTGGGGCCGCATCTTCAAGCAGAACCGCGAGAAACACCAGGGCGAGCACATCGGCGTCTTCCTGTGCGGTTCCCCAGTGATCGGCGAGCAGCTTTCTCACCAAAGCATCAAGAACTCGGACCTGGTGGGCACCCCAGGCGGAACTCGCTTCTCTTTCTTCAAGGAGCACTTCTGAACTTGGAAGCGCTTGTCCCTAGCTTTCTCTAATAGATAGGCTCGTGCCTCTGTCTCTTGATGCCAGTCTTGAACCCAGATTTGCTGGGTCCTGGTGACACGAGACATTTTGGCCTTATGTACAGCTTCATGGAGCTTTTTCTGTTGTCTTATCAGTTTTGTTCGCCGGATGTGGATACCCATGTCGTCAGCATTGACCTTGGGCTCTGCTGGCCCGGCAAGGCCCAAGATCCCGTTCGCCCAGCTCGGTGATCGGATTCCTGGGCGGTGTCTCAATGCCTGTACAGATGGCATGAGCTTCTGCAGTTTTGTGCTGGACAAGCAAGATCGACCATGAGTGTTGATTCTGGCCCTGTTCAACTTGCATCCTGGCAGATGACTTTACCATCTGAGCCTGGAAACAGCGGCCCTAGCCGTGCAAACTTTGTGTTTGAAGGCAGCATGTCCTGGCTTGAAGCGAAGGTAATTTACACGCCGAAGCCCCTGCCCAAAGAGTTCGAACGACGACGTTTCAAGGGAACTTGTACTGTCAGGGCCCACCAAATGCAGTTCTCCATCCACTGGCACATGCCAAGGCCCCAAAGCCTTCAGCTGTGCCACTGTATCAAGTCGAATTTCAAGTAATGGATTATACATATCAATCAAGAGATTCACTTGTGTCGTTCCTGCTGTACGGCTTGCAGCCTGAGCCGTAAATCGTGGACCCTTTCACGGGGGTTCGAGGACCTGAGCCGTGCCTGCAGTGCCAGGTGCGTGTTGACATGTCATGTATCCTTGTTTATATGCCACCAAAAAACGTAGCTTTATAAAACTCTTAAAATCATCTACAAAACAAGCCAGGGGCTCTGCGCCCTGGGCGTTCGGCTGCAGCACACCAAGTCGCCCGCGTTGCGGCGGCTGCGGGGCTTGGACCCCTGGGTCGGGGCTAGGGGTTCAGGTTAGAAGGAGCTGGAAGCAACCAAAGGTTTAGAGCATTCTCAAGGCAGCATGATGGCTGAAGTTGTGGTTAAGAGCGGGTTTACTTGGAGGCTGGGCGGACTGTATGCGTCCGTATTCGATCCAAGTCATATGCCTGAATCAAGCTGCTAGAGAAGCTATTTAAACCTCGGAGTCAGGTTGTGCAAGCACAAAGGCAGATGGTCTCGCCAGCTAGACCTTCCGGTTACCAGGCACAAGCAAGGCAAGGTTCTGATGCTGTTTACTGGTTCGGTCTTTCCAGGTATCAAATTCAAAAAGGTGGTGTGGTGCCTAGTGGATTGCGGGACGCGACTCTTTCAAAACCGCTGCCCAATCAAAAGGCCTAGGCCAAAGCGAAGTGTGCTTAGGATTGGAGAAATGCTGTAAATGACGAGTCTTAATTATTCTCGGCCAACTTACAAAAGGCTAACGGGTGAGATATACGAGATGGGATTCCCACGTTTCGAAGCTGCTGAAATCCACCAACAGCTGCAACTAAACCTCATCTGACTTTGGCATGCCCGCCTCAGTTGACTGGTGATTCAGACTTGGAAAGAGGCGCCTGAACAAGGAGTGCCCTCAGTTTTGGGTGTGGCTTACCGGATGCCTGACAAAGCTCGCTCAGTCAGTTCCAGGACGTGGACGGCGGAAACGGCGTGCTGGTGACCGACGTCCCTGGGCTAAGTCTACAGTCCCGTCCTTTACCCCAATGAGGCATGGCTGCAAAATCCTTTACCTTGAAAACACTTTATCCAACTGCGGCGCAATCGTTCTTTCGTCGTGTCAACACTACAATCCCTCCGACATGTAGCTAGAATCCTTGGTCCGGGTAGGCAGTGCTGATCCCTTTTATCCTGTGACCACTCACTAAGCAGCCACGTTGTGAGGTTGCTCCGCTGTCTGCGGCTGCTGAGGCAGGGATCCAGGCCATGAGGGCTGCTGAAAGCTCGTTTCTCAAAGCCGTAAGAGCTACTGGATTTAAGGGGGCCTGAGGTGTTTCATGCGGAGATTGATGGTACTGTGATAGGAGCTCCACTGCTCTGACCCCAAAACCCTGTGAATATTGCTCTAGTGAGAGGATGGAGATGTCATCCTGGCCGTTGACGGTGTGCCTGTCGCTGAGGCAGCGGGCAGGCGTTAACCTATCACACCCTTCTCTTGATACATAAAGCCCTTCATACTGCTTGGTGCCGACTGGTAACGTGGTTCTCAAAGGGCACGTGAAAAGCATCGCCATGCTCAGATGGCCCACGGTACGCGCATGGGAACCTGATCACAAATTTATAGCCCTGTCAAAACCCTTGACGCGGCGTGAGTAAAATGCATCTAGGATACAGCGCACACAGCGTGTCTGCAGTTCAACAAGGAATTTGCCGCAGTCAGGACGGCACCGTCCCCTTCCGTGAAATGGAGCGCATTGGGTTGCTTGGCTTACCTTACTGCAGCTATCAGAGTGCAATTTGCTGACACGGTTTGGGGCCTGGTTGGGCTTCCGCTGCTCTCCCGACATGTAAGGCTTCATCACAATCTGGGGGCAACAAATATGACAGGCTGTGTGGGATGGATTCCATGTCTTTGCAAGCTTATCAGCCCAACGCATCACCTAGAATTATTTCCTTGAGCGAACGGATAGGGTGGTACAGGTAAGGAAATAAAGCTGGCAGCATACTAGAAGCACCCCACCCCCCAAAAAGAGTTCCAGCATAATTAGTGCAGTTACATAGACTTGTTTTTAAGGGGCGCGAGTCTCTTACTGCCAGAGGGAAGGGGCTAGCATACTGCGCAGTGTTGGTGAGAGGTAGCCAGCAATCACAAGCGAAAGGGGTCCAAAGATGCAACCCGCTACTGGCCCGTTTCCCAGCGCCAGCATACTGGATATGGTGTTGCTCAAGGATTTTTCTTGTATAGAATCCTGCATAGTTATTCCTATCATCCTCTCATTATTCTCGTGTATCCCTAGGGTCTTTCAGGATGCTATTTTGAGGAAACCCCTTGTCATTCTCTTTTATGGTCGCGAGGAGTAGGTTGGGGCCTAACCCGGAACTGCACCTTGCGACGCTTTATGGCCATGCAAGTTGTCAAGGACTGCGAATCAAGCCCTAAAAGCCCAAAACCCTACCAAGGTTCGAGTTCCTCGTCACTCGCAAAGTGGTCGGCGAGACCATTCGACGCTCGCCTGCCCTTAGCTAGGTAGGGCAAGACTTGTTTCGTAGTTCGGCATCGTATGGCCCCTTGTGTGTAGTAAGGGTTCAGGGTTTAGGGTCCTTGCTTGTGCTCTCATGAACAGCTTGGGAGCTTGTAGTCTACTAGTTGCTTGCAACAGCAAGATGCAGTCAGGCCGGCGCCTCAGTCCTGGGTTACAAAAGGTCATTGCGGGGGTCCAAATGCTAAAACAGATCATCAGTATATTGTTCAGTGTAGGAACCTGAAGATGGGCCATGATCTCCATGTATCCTCAATAAAGAATTGATGCGTTGGGCCAGTGCGGTTGTCAAAGGTGGGTGTGGCTTGTGTTTATTCTTTTGTGCTATGGGTGCATGGCTAGATGTGGCTAGTGATTGTCAAATGTCATGGAGAAGACGCTGAAGTTCAAGTCCCCACCCAACAACCCAACTCGCCCCGCAAATAACAAGAACGCTCCCACTCCCAGCATATAGCTTCGGCATTGCATGGGGAAGGCTGGCCTGCGGGCATTCAAACTAGGATACTTTCAAATTGCAGGCAGGTTGACTGGAAGCAGCTGAACCTTTGTTCCACTGACCTTGCTTCATGTTCATTTTAGTGTGACTTGTCCTGCTTTTTGGATGCCGTGGGCTCTGGAAGATTACTGAGATTCAAGCTTTATAGGGCATCTTAAACCGTGCCATTTTACATCAAGCCAATCTGAAGACAGATCCTTGCCACGACCTTGAATCAGCACAGGGATTCCTTCCTCACAGTGTGAGCCCATAACCAGTCCCAGGAGTACAGTTGCGCCGACCTGAAAGCTCCAACCAGGACCGTGAAAGAGTCACCTCCCAAAGTTGTCTACTGGTGGGATGCCCGTCATGGCTGAAGAATAAGATTCGCCCGCAAGTCTCCCCCCCGAGTTTGAGATTTGATGCTATAACTGTATCTTTGGCGGCGCATTGCCCGAGGGAAGTTTCAAACCCTTACATAGGAGAATTCCGCTCAGTGTTTCCACTCATCAATGATGTTTCGCCCGTTCAAGGCAAGTTTTTGAAGCTAAAAGTTGTAGAGTCTATAGAAAAAGCATGGGCAACCCATGACAATCGGGACCGCGCTCGCGGCAGTCGCTCAAATTGTCATAATCCTCTCCCCTGGTAATGACCCCCCCTGATTAAGTGTAATCGTTTCTGGTACCATTATATAAGAGGAGGAACATGTATTGAAAGGGCTTGTTATCTTAGCCAGGGTGGGCTTTTTTGGTTACCTTGATATTAGGGGTCGTGCTAGACTAGGGACCCCAAAACAATACTGACTAACTGAACAAGTTGTGCCGTCTTTTGAGTTTACTCACATAGTGCTTTTCAGGGCTTGGGCCTAGACCCTAGGATTTGGGTTGAGGGTTCGGTACCCTCTCCCACACAGCATGTAGTATTGTGTTGCGCATGAAAGGGCCAGAACGGGCCCACGACCTTGAAAACGCCCACTCGCATTTGAAGTGACAGTTCTGGTTTCCTGCTGCCGCGTTGACTCAAGCTACTTTTGCTTCCACACCTTGCCCCCAGCCATCTTACCCCAGCGCTTCATATTGTCACCATGGCGCTTTGACTGGTGCTGGCGCTACTGCTCCCGCAGCTGGGACTGACATCATGTGAGCAATAAGTTTGACAGGAGGGCTTGGCTTGGCTAGACCCGGCCTGCATGGTTGCAACACTGCCATAGGGAATACGCCTGCGTGCTCGCAAGGATCCTGAGGCCACAGCAGGTCTCTCAACAATGAATGCAGCAGTGCCCACTTGGTACGTAGGCGAATGACAGGCTGGGCTGACCTAGCAGTTCCGTCCTTTGTTCCGTCATGTCGAGATTTTTACTCACCTTTGTGCACTTTAAAATCGGTACCCCCCCTGTACAATCATCTTGTGACGATGGAGCATTGGTGTACCAAAGCCATTTTGGCTTAACGCTGGCGAAGTTTTAGTGCAGAGGTAGGTCCGTCCTTCGCAGGCCTTCAGGAAGCATGGCTCCTTCCACTCAGCAGGTTGCAGTTGCAGCGCTGGCTGCTGCAGGCTGCACTGCCTTTGTTGCGACTCCCAGCACTGTGCGAGGACCAGCTCTCCGCAGCGCCGCCCAGGGACAGGCCAAGGCCTCGTCCTCCTCTTCCATGGGGGCCGGCCTGGCTATCTGCGGCCTCGGTGCTGCAGCCGCCGTCGCGGCACCCAGGAAGGAGAAGGCAGCACTCTCCCTGCGCGCCCTGACACCGGCGCAGGAGCTCATCGCCGGCACCGGCGGCCCCATGCCCGATATGTTCTGGGACCCAGCAGGCATTAGCGCCAGGGCCACAGAGGAGGAGATCCTGAAGTACCGAGCCATTGAGCTGAAGCATGGCCGTGTTGCCATGCTCGCAGTGCTGCACTGGTTCCATGTCGCTGCAGGCTACCACCTCCTTGGTGACTATGCCATCGGTGAGCGCATGAGCGACGATCCCCTCGTCAGCTTAACCCAGCTGCCCATGGGAGGCATGTGGCAGGTCATTTTCACCATCATGTGCTTAGAGTGGCTGACCACCTACATCTGCAAGCCTCCCGCGGACCGACCCTGGGATGTGCTCGGATGGAAGGGTATCATCGTCGAGGACTACCCGTCCGAGATCTGGAACGGCTGGAAGCGTGTGCAGTGCCAGGAGCTGAACAACAGTCGACTAGCTATGGTGGCCATCACCGGACTCATTGCCCAGGACGTGGTCACTGGCGACTATGTCGCAGGTGTGGGCAAGCTTTGCGGTGGTCTCGATGTCTGCCAGGTGCCCGCCGTCCAGCCCGAAATGTGGGAGTTCCCTCCTCTGGATGATGCAGTCCTCAATGCCCCAGCCTGGAAGCTCCTTCCGGACATTCCTTGAGTGAGTCAGTAATTCACGATTGCAGGAGGTAGGGCCCGCAGAGGGAAAGTTCCCATTTGAACAGAAGACTCTGGAGTCTCTGGACATTTCTGTAGGCCCAGCTGTCCCAATAAATTGCAATCTTAAGCCGTTCACCTTGCACTTAGACAAGCTACACCTGGCGTGACAGAGGCTCCGCATGTCGCGGGCCAGAGTAAGTGGAGAGAACACAGGATTGCCGGCGAAGGGTTTTTTTCGCAAGGAAAAAGTAAGCCAGGCCAGCACAGGGTTGAACCAGCCGACAAGGAGGTGCCAAGAGATAAAACTTCTAGCGACACCCAGAATCAACAAAGAGGCAGAAGCCTGGTACATGCAATTGTATTTCTATAGTGCAGTGGTTCAAGCAGTGCGAGGGTTGGATAATGCAAGAGGCGTAGGAGGCGAAGGTGAGTGGCGCAGGTTCACTGAGTTCTTCAGCTTGGAACTTTGAACTTTGTTAAAACCTGTCGAGCAATGAGGCTGTCCGCCTGAAAAGTCTGCTGTAACCTGAATCCTTGCATCCTTGCCCACTGAAGGCTCGTGTTTGCAGACACTGTCGCTTGGCCACTACTGGAGAAAACATCGTATTTTGGGCAAAAGCTGTTTTTTTCCTTCGTGGTGTCAGGTGTCCAGCGCTGTCTCTCTCTGTGTGCGCCTGTGTATGTTTGATTCATTGTAAGGTTGCCAGTGATATTGTCACTTCTTCAATGGTTTGCTTTCTTTTGCCTGCTGTCGTTGTTCTATTCCTATTGCGGCAATCAACAACAACATTGCAAGGAATATTACGGTCACGACTTCCACACCCGCCATCACCGCAACAGTCTACAACACCATTCTATGATGATCAGTCTCGTAGAATAGGATTTGGGTGTACATTATATTAGCTAAACCTTAGAAGGTTTACGAGTAAATGCTATTCAGGCTTTTACAGCACGGCATTCCTTGTGCATTTTAAGAAGTGTTCTCGAAGTTCAGCCTCCCCAAGGATTTGGCATCTTCCGCCGGCCATTGTGACCTGCAGAAGGCAGTCTATAGGCAGTAAGAGGGATTTAGTGAGGTTCTTGTGCAGGTGACGTGAAAAGACATTGCAGGGAAAATTCATGTGACCACCTTGTACAAGCATTTCCTTAAAGAGGGACTCCAAGGTAGACCCCTTGAATATAGGGACCCCCAAAAAGGTACCCCTAATCTGGGAAACACCAGAATTAGGCGTAAAGCCTAGGCTGGTGGGCGGGATATCACGCAAAGGATAGTGGGGGATTCAGCGGGTGCCGGTTGGGGACTTAGGTCTTGGGGCGCAGGGGTTCAGCGTCTTTGACGGAGGCTTCCAGGTGGTGTAGACTCACGGGTGGTACTCTTACGCAAAGGAGGCCTACATAGACGTTTAGCCCCATACCTCCTACATCCTCCTACATCAACTGTACATGGGGGTACCGACCTGGTAACTGCCACAGAGTGTCTTTCAGTTCTGAGATGCAGGTGAACTGCAAACCATAGTGGGTTTATGTCAGCCCCTGGGATTGCAAGTCCTGCCTCATACAAGCTGCAGCCTACGACGTGTTCGTGTTCAGGATTTTAGGTTTAGGGGTCAACTGCGCCGACAATCTCTGAACGGAGGGCTGGTCAAAGCAGAGCAGCCTGCAAGAGAAGAGTCCATTCCCTAGGCTTGCACCAGAACACAAGTATGCAAAGGAATCGTTGTTCCCAGACACGCAAGCACACACGAACACTATCTAAAGCAAAGCAAACCGTAGCCTTAAAGCTTGAGCCCAAGCATTGCTGCATGAAGGCGACGAACCTGCGACTGTGAGTTGCTGACGTTGTCCGATCATATGATGGTTTCTCAAGAGTATCCCTTTATAATCCTTAGTGGGGATCCCTCTTATTTGCTTACTACTGTTCGTACGAATGTGCATGATCCGGGTATACACAACTCCTACGATCTAAGGTGCCCGGGTCATGCAAGATTTATTGTGTCAGCCGCATAGCGGAGTGCGAGGCACCCAGCAATGTTCGAAACTGTTGGGATCGCTCACATTTGCCACGCTGTGGGGGCTTCTTAACCTATCTGCAGTAAACCCTCAAAGAAGGACCCTTATAGATTTTCCGGGGCCCTTGTAGGACCTTTGACTTGAGCAACTCCTGCTTCAAAAAGCCAGTGTCCTAAAACTTGCTGCCTGTGCAACAGCCCGTTCAGTCAGGCTTGTGGGAATTTCTCAAGAATTCGGAAGCCTCCTAGACTGAAAGCCATACAATCCTCTTGAGACACCTAGGTGGGCTAGATTTTCAACAGCCTTGGCTGAAAGTGTAATGCTGAGGGCTTAGAGTCTTTGGGTTTTGGTAAATTTTTAGAGTTCTGAGGTTTCGCGTCTGACGGGTTCGCCGCTAACATGTATCAGAGACTAAGAGTTTGGGGGAAACAGGAGCCAGGGGCTTAGAGGCTTCGAGCTAAATCTGGATAATTGCAATAGTTCGTGCTTCTCTGTAGACTATAGTATGACATACCTCCGCAAACCTATTCTCATTGCTGAGGCCGTGCTAGCCGGGTTCCGGGGTCACGACTAGGGATTTTCTGGGGCATAAGGGTTTAGGGATAGAATGATGGAGAACCAATGTGTAAGACAAGCTTATAAACCCTGACCTGGAAGCTGGGAGCTTCTTAGGCCTAACTATAGGGGTTTAGAGGGATTATGCCGGGAGGGTTGTGCCCCATTTTTGACAATTTTGGCGACCTGTCCTACAAAACCTTTTTCAGCTGGCCAAATGACAGCAACATCATCCCACCTCATCCAAAGTGATTGTTTGTGTAGAGAATATTCCCCAAAATGGAAGCCTTTCTTCTTTGGTGTAAACTCGGCTCGTTTTAAATGAGAAGTCTTTTTCCGTAGCCTTTTGGGCTTCCATATTAAACCCTAAACCCTTAAGACTCTGAAGACCCTAAACCCTAAACCTTTTTTGTGCCTGCACCTGTGCGATGTGCGTGTCTAAACTTTCTTTTAATTTGCGGAGAGCAAATCCGCAAATCCTGCGGGATGCCGCAGTATTGGCTTTAACAGATCTTCGCCCACAGAACCTAATGTAGGGATTCGGGATTACCAATATTAGGGGTTTAGGGTAAGGGATTACCGCTATTAGAGGTTTAGGGTTTAGGGGTTACCAATATTAGGGGTTTAGGGCTTAGGGATGACCAATATTAGGGTTTAGGGTTTAGGATGGTTTGGGGCTTAAGGATTACCAATATTAGGGGTTAGGGTTTAGGATGGTTTTTAAGGTTTAGGGATTACTTGTATTAAGGGTTTAGAGTTTAGGGATTACGAACATCAGGGGTTAGGGTTTAGGGCTTACCAATATTCGGGGTTTGGTATAGGGTGCCTCGAATAGACATCAACATGACAGTAGTAATTATATAGGTTTCTTCAGTATGACTGTAAAACGAAATTTGCTACTTGCTTTCATGCCGCAACGGAAGACCCCTAGCATATGCAAGTCAGTCCGCAAACCCTAAACCCTAAATTTTCATCAGCCCTATATGGTAGTTTCCCTAAGCAGGGGGACCCCAATATAGACCCCAAAATACTCTACTCCTTAGTATAGGGACCCCTAGAAAGGTACACCTAATTTTGGGTAGCCCCCGATATGAGCCCAACAACCTGTGATGCCTCCGGCTTCAGTCCCTGGAATTGAGAATCCCCTCCCCTTGTATTAAAACCACCCTAAACTCTACCATTAAATACTCCCAATACATTATACTAGACCCCACACGCGATATGGGGGGTGGGGGGTTTTGATATTAGGGAGGTGACTAGTGAGTAGTGATTTGGGTGCTTCGCAACGAAGGGGGGCCCTCTCGGGACCAAGGGATTACATGGAAGTTTTGGCGTCCCTTCCCGGGTAATTCTTCTTATTACTGCAGTTAGCAGGGACTGCCATTGTGAAGCAGGGATCATGGGATTCCGAACGAGGAATGTGGTTCCACTTTCCTCAAGATGCCTCTTCCTTTTTCCCACTGCAGCCCAGAAATCATCTTGGGCTTTAGCTACCAAATCAGCGGTCCTGCCATCCGGGCCTCGGTATGCGGGAGGTTGAAGTCCGTCTGAGGCAGCTTGGAGATTGGAGTTTTTCATACTTCCTGCTATCATTGTAGGATTCACTTTTCGGCAAGATGATGAGGAAAGCGAGCCCTTACAATCCCTACATGGGCTTTTCCAGGCTAGGTGTCCATTGTTGCCCTGAACTAGTTTTATCTCTGAACCCTCAACCAAGGATCCATCATTCTGGGGATTGCCAGTTCACTGTAGCACCATATTCCCGCAATTTCTATCTTGATTCGGCCCCTGCAAAACCCGAAGCCTTAAGCTGATCCTAAACCAAGCTCAAAATCCTAAATCCCAAGCCCACAGTCCTAAACCCCAAGCCCAAAAATCCTAAACCCCACGCCCAAAATCCTGAACCTCAAGCCCAAAACCCTAAACCTCAAGCCCAAAAATCCTACACCCCAAGCCCAAACCCTACGCCCAAGATCCTAAACCCCAAATTCCTCGTCGAGGAGCTTCCGTCGGCTGGCCAACCAGCAGAGCTGGAGCTCAAGGCCGCCTATGTGGAGACGCTGGGGAAGCACACTGTAAGGAGGTACCATAAGGATGTTACCATAGGGGTTTAGGGTACCAGAAGGATATTACCCGATAGATATATATATATATACGCAGGGTTTAGGTTTTCAATTTTTGGGGGTGTATTGGGGTTATGTGTAAGGATATTACCCCAATAATGGAGAATCAAATGGAAAATCACATGGAAAATGAAATGGAAACCGCACTGGGGGTATGTAGGCTAGTAATTGTATTGGGGTTAGATTGGAGTTATATTGGAGTAATGGAAAAGGGAATGCAAAGTCCTATTTAGGGTTGGGGTAATATTACGCGTATATTGGGTTTGTATAGGGATGATGGAAAAGAAAATGGAAACTATTATATTATGGGGTT